GACAACAGGGACATTATATCCACAGTACAGTGATCAAAATCAGGAAGTTAAAAATGCAAACCACAACTACTGTGAGATCCCAGTTCACCCCCACTGGGATGGCTGTTATCAGAAAAGCTGACGATAACAAGTGTTGTTAAGGACGTGGAGAAACTGGAACCCTCATCTGTTCTTGGCAGGAGTGTAAAATGGCGCAGCCACTGTGGAAAACAGTTCAGCGGTGCTTCAGAAACTTAGAATTATCATACAACCCAGCAATTCTACTCCTAGGTATCTGCCCAAAAGATAGGAAAGCAGGGACTCAAACAGAGACTTTACATCTGTGTTCACTGCAGGCACTGCTCACAACAGGCAAAAAAGGGTAACAGCCCAAGTGCCCATCAACAGACAAATGGAGAAACAAAATGCAGTACGTACGTACAATGGAGTATTGTTCAGCCGCAAAGAAAAAGGAAATTCCGACACATGCCTGTAACATGGATGAACCTTGAAAGCATTATGTTGAATCAAGTAAGTCAGCCACAAAAAGACAAATATTACCTATTTATGTGAAGTATGTAAAACAGGAAATGCATGGAGACAAAGGTTTGTCGGGTTACTAGGAGATGGGGAAACAGGGAGCTGTTGTTTAAGGAGTACTGGGTTTCTGTTGGAGCTACAGCTGCTGAGGCAATTAACCAAGAGGTCGGCGGTTCGAATCCACCAGCCTCTCCTTGGGAACCCTGTGGGGCAGTTCTAGTCTGTCCTGTAGGGTCACTGAGTTGGAATCGACTCGACGGCAACAGGTCTTTTTTTACAGGGGGGTTTCTATTGGAGCCCTGGTGGCGCAGTGGTTAAGAGCTACGGTGAGCTATGGCTGCTGACCAGAAGCACCAGCCGCTCCTTGGAAACGCTGTGGGGCAGCTCTGTTCTGTCCTGTAGGGTCACTGCGAGTCAGAATTGACTCAACAGCAATAGGTTTGATTTGGTTGCTTTTCTATTGAGGAGCCTTGGTGGTGGATAAGTGCTCGACTGCTAACCAAAAGGTCAGCGGTTTGAACCCACCAGTCACTCTGTGGAGAAAGCTGTGGCAGTCTGCTTCCATCACGATTTACAGCCTTGGAAACGCTACAAGGCATTTTCTCTTTGTCCTATAGGGTCGCTATGAGTTGGAATTGACTAGACGGCAAGGGGTTTGGGTTTTTGGGGGGGTTTCTATTGGGGTGATAAAACTGTTTTGGAAATGCAGAGGGTGACGGTTGCACAGCACGGCGAGCGAATAGTATTATCGTCGCTGAATGGTCCACCTAAGACTGAAACAACAGGTTTTTTGCGATACAGGTTCTGCCGCGACTACCAACAACGGAAACACTACAGGTTCCACCGCGACAACAACAACAAAACACACTACAGGTTCCGCCCCGACAACAA